GGGGGTGCAGAAAAGTCAATATGAAGTTGGGTGAGAGGTATTGTACGAGTGACAGACAGACAGACAGACTGGCTACGGGGGGGTGCAGAAAAGTCAATATGAAGTTGGGTGAGAGGTATTGTACGAGTGAGGGCGGCGAGGCTTTATTTTGGTGTTCCAGCGTTGGTACTAAACTAGTCGTCAACCGTATTAGTATGTGAATGAGTTTGAATTTTTTTGTTAGAGTAGAAAAATGCAACAACGGTCACCTTGTGCAAAGACAGAGTTAGACAGAAACACCAGAAAGGAAACGGAAAAAACAACCTACGACATAATAGTGGCGCCCTTCGACTGCCAGTTGAGTGAGAATGAAAAAAAGATAATTAAAAGAAAGAGATCCAAATACCACCCTCCGCTTAAATCCACGTCAATCTTTTTCAACAATCAATAATTTAATACTTGAAGGTCAAAACCAATCTAGAACATACATTTCCGAGCCATTTTTAAGTGACTTGGCTCGTTCAAGGGGTTCTTAAATATCCCTGGAAATTACATTTAAAGCTTCGCCTCGGAGACAAGCTGCTGATCTGTGGTCAATAGAGGGCAGTGCGGGATGGGGTGCGGAGAGGGCATTAGGGAGATGAGTGAGAGGTATAGAAGAGAGCTGGAGAGTTGGTTGGGGGGGGGGGATAGGACGTGAGGACATGGAGATTGGCTGGTAGTCGAGTCTTGGCATAAAACCAAGGCATACTGCTTACAAATTAATCTGACCCAAGAAATATAGAATGAGAAAGTAAAAATGTTAAGTGTAAAAGAAAATCCATCTTTAGAACCAATTTTAAACAGAATCAAACAGCCCCCGCCCCCCCCTCCCCCACACGTTTTTTTTCCATCCCCACCTTTTATAGGGAACAGCAACAGCCAACAGACTGTTCATCAATTTGCAAATTTAAATGGAATTTTTTCTTTCACGAACCATGAATCTTGAAATATCTATTTTTCTGGAATAAGGAGTAATCTCTTTGAGACAAAGCGCCCTTATTCCCGAAGGGGTAGTGTTTCTAGATTAAAACCATTTTTGCCGAAGGCCCAAATAAATGTAAAAGCATTGTGGGGGGAAAGGGTATTATCTAAATAATCATAACAGTCTAACATTAACCCAAATTTTTCGGATTAAAAAATTAGAGTTTTACAGCACTGGCAATACAATAAGGTCAAATAAGTGCCAAAGAATAGAGGTGTTATAAGAGAGTGACAAACACAAAACAGAAGGAGGGGAGATAAGGACGATAGATGTGTGATAGAATAGAAGGAGCAAACCAAACAAGAGCATTTCTTTAAAAATATTTATTTTACCAAAAATATCCCTTTTTGTTATATCAGAACAAAGGAACTGATAAATGACTTGAAAGCTAAGAAAGATAGAAAGCAAATGGATTATTTCAGTGTTTTCGTAGCCTAGAGGTAAAAAAAATGCTCAAAAAACAAAACACAAAACAAAAACAAAACCTCTTTTTCTTTTACGCACGACCATTACAAAGAAAAAAAGGAAAAATTAGATACTGCCGGTCATATGAGGCTGGCCCAATGCAGACCTGTTAGAAAAGGAATATTCAGCCAATGTGGCAAGTGAGGTCTCCATGGAGCTTCCAGTTTCCACTCTCTTGAACAATCCTCTTGAGCTCCAGACCTGCTGGATTGTCAACAGTTCAAGAGATTCGGGGGAATTAAATTGAGACTGGCTTGCCGAGTGGGCAAGAGATTGAGTCCTTGTCTGTAGGACAACAAGGACAGACGCGAAGAGGTGGGAGGATGGGGCGGGCGGAGGAGTCTGACTGAGAGTGGAAGCTTTGGGGGAGGGGGTAGGAGGGAGGAAGGAGGAGTGAGACCAAAGTGGAAGCTTTGGGGGAGGGGGGAGGA